GCGCGGAGCCCCCGCAGGCGGGGGCGCCCGACCGACACGAGCGCGGCGCCCCCCCCCCCCCCCCCCCCCCAGACGCCACCGGGGGACCTTTGTTCCGAGGGGGGGCGGGGGGAGGAGGGGGAGGCCACCACACCATCCTGATAGTCCCGAGGCCCACGAGGGAGAAGGGATCAGGATAGAGGGGCGGCGGGGCCAGTCAGCAGTAGGAGCGGTCTGTACCGAAGACGGCGTACCTTGCGCGTAACGATGAACACGGCGCACCTTTCTCGTACCGCTGTAGACGTCGAGCGTTCCCGCATTGTGTGGTGTGGTGTGTCAGTAGCGATGTACCCATCCGATCTGGTATCGCAAGTACTTCCGAATCCTCCTTCGGTACTGCTACGCGCCCGCTTGGCGTGCCCGTCCTGGATGCGCCAGGTACGCTTCTTATGGGCACCTGTCGGGGATGGTAAGCCGTAGTTGATGCAGCAATCATGTGTGATGGGGTCGCCGTGGTAATCGACGAGGTCCACGACATATGTGGTACCGCCTGTGATCATAAGTTAGTAGATACAGCTTGACTTCGTTGTGCAAATCGTGCTCGCCGCTGCTGTAGTTCATGTGGTATACCTTCATGTGCGGGTGCTGGTCGGGTTCCAAAATCGCACTGTTGTCCGTATCTTGTGGAAGGTATCGCCATTGTTGAGCCTGCACAAATTGGGGGGCCTGTGTGAATCTCGAGCGTTACGTCGTCCTCCTCTTTGGGGTCCAAGGACATATAGTAGTGGAACCTCACAATCGTAGGGTTGGCTCTCAACTGGGATGTAATTCTTGGAAGCATGCCAATGTCATATCGCAAAGGTTGTGGGGGATCTTCTCATGTCGTCCCTCGAGGCGGTCGTTTGTAGCAACCTCGCAGGTACGGTCATTGGATTTGGCTTTGCATGCGTTGGTGCGCTTGTCGTACAGCTCGTCGCAATAATAGCGTAAGGCCGATCAGCTATCTCGTATCATGCGATATTGCTTGTCGTGTTCGCCTTGAGTGGCCTTCGTAACCACCTGTAGCCGCTAATTGCGGTATGGAAGGTCACGCCACCGCATTCGGGCTTCCGTTAGTTGGTACTCCACATGTGTACCGCCTGTGCGTTGGTATTTTAAACTGGCCATGTTGCATGGACTAGGTGTACACGTAAGCTGTATGTTGAGCGGGTACCTGAATGATGGTATCATTGGAACACGTCTAGTAACCAATCTGGAACACCTTATGACAGCAGGGAGCATATAACTAGGCCTGTAGGCGGGTTTGATAAGCAAAATAATAGGCGACCTCGCGTATGCCCGGTGGTGAAAACGTACACGTACACGTGGTAAGACGACTACTGCCTGTAGCGCCCTGATGTACCAAGATGAGGTGGTATACGTTGGCGGGTAGGTGAGCAGCAAGATTGTGTCGAGGAGAACACGCAGCGGATATCCTGTGGCATCTACTACACTTACTGGCAATGAACGCAATACCTCATGATGCCTTTGCGGTAAGGGGTGCGGAGGGAAAGAGACGATGACGAGGACATACTTCTTGCTCCGGTAAATCGGTTTCTCCTCCTGCCCCCCCTGCCCCCCGAAGTCGTTTCCTAGTAGCGTTCCGTTGGACATTCTGATACTTGCATAATGCCCACGGAGAACAGAAAGATCCACAGGGGGGCGGAAAGCCCGAGACCGCCTGGCCCAGCGGAGGTCCGGCAGCGGTCCTGCCCGATATTTCCTCACACGCTATGAAAGCATCATGTTCTCGCCTTAATGCCGGCTGCGTCTTGCGTCCAGACGGTCTCGGCCCCAGAGGTCGGACAAGCTGCGCAGGTCACACAGGTCGCACCAGTCCCGCAGTTCCCCCCATAAACCCCATGTGTCTCGCGGGTCCCACCGATTCCACGTGTTTCGCAAGTCTCACGGACCGACAAATCCCAGGGGTCCACAGATCCAACAGGAGTCGCACGTGTTACAAATCCCACTTGCCCCACAGAGGTCCCACACACAGGTCCCACAGGTCGCACATGTCCTCAAATCCCCACCAGCCCCACAAGTCCGACAGGTCCCACAAGTCTCGCGTATATCCCCCAAGTGCCACAGATCCCACAATCCAACAGGTCCCACATGTCGCACTGGCGCCACAAGTCCCGCTGGTCATACGGGCCGCGCAGGTTCCATAAACCCACAAGTCCTGTCACAGGCCAGAGACGGCCCACAGGTCACACATGCACCACAGGCCCCACAGGTCCCACAGGCCCCACGAGCCCCACTTGAGTCCAAGGTCCCATATGTGCCACAAGTCCCACGGGCCCCACAACTCCAGCGGGACCTACAGGCAGCGCGTGGCCCGCATGTCCCAGATTCCCCACATGCCCCATAAACCCGACAGGTCCCACAGGTTTCACGGGCACACGTCTCACAGGTCACACGGGTCCCACATTTTTCACAACTTCCACCGGTCCAACATGTCGCTGATGTTTCACACTTCCAACTTGATCCACAAGCCCCACAGGCTCCTCAAGTCCCACAGGCACCACTAGCCTCACATGTCCAACGGGTCCCAGTGGCAGAGGTCCCAGAGGTCCTGCAAGTCGCAAAAATCCCACAGGCCACACGGGTCCCACAGGCCCTTTGCTGCTAGTACAGTGTTGTGCTGGGGTAGATACGTTTTGGTTCACGACGCCGATCCATTCCAATGGATTGCTCTGTCATGGCGAGTGGATCTTGACGGCCCCAAGGCCCGGCGTGCTCCCAGGGTAACAACATAGAAACAAACACGCTGGTCGCGCTTTCTTTGCGGCGCTAGGAGGTATCGGTCTTCATCCTCTCTCTCTCTTTTTTTTTTTTCTCTCTCTCTCTCTCTCTTTCTCCCCCTTTCTCTTTCGCAAGCGGTGACGCATCACCCACAGGGCGCGCCCCACGCTGAGCGCGCGCTGGCGCGCTCGTGGACAGGCCAGGCCCGCCCTGTCTGGTTGGGGGGAGGAAGGAGGCGAAGGCCGCCCACGCTCTTGTGTACCACCTGATTCTCGGATGGAAAGGAGGGGAGGTGGGCACGACGGCGGGGCCACTCAACCGCAGGAGCGGTACATACCGTAGACGTACAGTACCTTGCAGGCTGTGCTGAATGGGTTTACCTAATACGTAGTACCTCGTCTGGAAGCACTATGTACGTAGCCTTGACCGTAGGGCTATAGTATATCGAAATCCTGTCCGGCTTTAGGCAGGGCGCTCTCGCTTTGTGTTTGGTGGTGTTTGGTGGTGCCACCTGATTGTAGGCAATACCGGAAGTCGCCTCCAACTAGCACTGGTCGGTCACGGCGGCGCATGACTCCCTGGAGTCGTCGCTTGCCAGATCACAACACTCACCGTTTCGCTGTCTTCTGTTGAATCGGTGTTGTCCTCTTCGCTGCTTCCCTCGTGCTCCACGTCGCTGTCTTTGTCCTCGTCGTCGCACTCGTCTTCCTCCAGTCGTCACAGCAACTCTGCGGCGGAAATACGTATGAGCAGCTGGCCCATAAGCACCCAAGTCTTATGCGCCTCGCTGTGTTCACTGGCTGACAAGAGCGCGTTGATGGCCCCAGACTGGGCGGACCATCGCATCCTCGTGTTCGCTGTGGCAGCCAATGCTCACGCCTTCCTTTTCGTGTCTTGGAACTTTTTCCCCGCGTGGACCGTGGGATAGGATGTGTTCCTGATGGCGAAGGCCTCTGTGATCGCCTCCCTCTCGGCAATCACGGTTCCGAAAAATCCAACCCCTTTAGCGCGACGTACATGGGGAAGAAGGGCACATTCTGCTCGTCACTCTCCGCGTCCTCCTCTCGCAACCCTCGTAGCTCAGCCTGGGGCTCTCGGAGTCGTGCTCGCGGCCTTCGCAGCTCGCCTTGTTGCCCCCGTCGTTCGGCTGGTGGTCCTCCTAGCCGTGTCGGCGGCTCTCGCGGCTCTGCTCGTGGACAGTTTAGTGCAGATGGTGGCGCTGGTAGCTTTGCTGGGGGCCCTCGCTGCTCAGCTCGTCCCCCGCGTAGCTCGGCTCGTGGCCTTTGTAGCCTTGCTGGTTGCCCTCATAGTCCAGCTGGTGGCCCTCGTAGCCCAGCTTGAAGCCCTCGTAGCTCGCCTTACCGACTTCGGCGCTCAGCGCTAGGCACTCGCAGCAATGCTGGTGGCTCTGAGCTCAGTTGGTGGCGCTGGTCCGCTGTTGGCTCCCGTCGCTCTGCTTGTGGCTACGTAGCTCAGCAGGTGGTCCTCGTAACTGAACTGGTGGCTCTCGTATCTCGGCAGGTGGTCCCAGCACGTCAACTGGAGGTCGTCGTAGCTCTGCACGCGGCCATGGTAGCTCAGCGCGCGGCCACCTAAGCTCAGCTGGTGGCCCGTCCTGAGCGCGGCCTTCGTAGCTCGGCTTCTTGCCCCCGTAGTTCTCGCGGAGGATCTAGAAACTCTGTTCGTGGACCTTGTAGTTGTGCTGGTGGCGCGGGTAGCTATGTTAGAAGCCCTCGTTGCTCTGCTCGGGTTCCACGTAATTCAGCTGTGGCCTCTGTAGCTCCGCTGGTGGTCCTTGTAGTTTGCCTGGTGCTCCTCATAGCCACGCTTGCGGACCTCGAAGCTCAGCGTGTGGCCTTGCAGTTCCACGAGTGGCTCTGGTAGCTGAGCTGGTGGTGTTGGTCGATCAGCGGATGACTCTCGTACCTCTGCAGGTGGGCCTTGTAGCTCGGCTGGTGGTCCTCGTAGCTCAGCAGGTGGCTCTCGTATCTCAGCGGGTGGATCTCGTGATCTCGTGGCTCGGTAGGTGGCCCTGGTAGCTCAGCTGGTGGCTCTCGTAGGTCTGCGCGCAACCCTCGTAACACAGCTCGTGGTCTCCGTAGCTCAGCTGGTGGCTCTCGAAGCTCACCTGGTGGCCCTCGAGGCTTTGCGTGCTGCCTTGGAAGTTCGGCAAGTAATCCTTATGGCTCTGATGGTGGCCCTTGTAGCTATGCAGTGCTCTCGAGAACTTTTCTGCCCTCCTAAGCCTCACTGGCCTTCTCTGCCGTCTTGGCATCATGCGCATTACTGGACTTGTACCCATGCACCTTGGCGGCGTACTTGCACAGAGAGTTGTAGTCCTGGCAGTTTTGGTACACATCGAAATCCTGGCGGCCGTCGTATCACTGGTACTCGTATCTGCTCAGGGGGTCGCTGTAGCTGACGAGTTGGGCGTGGTCCACGCTGGCTCCGGTATCTGAGAAAGGGATCACAAGGTCGTCACGGAACCGTCCTTTCTCGCCTGGGGCGACGATCGTGGTCTGGCTGGGCTTAAAGATGGCCGCAGCTGGATGCAAGCCACCGCTCATAATTACTGTCGTACTTACCGTCGACTTTGGTAGCGTACTTGGTTTCGTACTTGGGGTGGTTCTCGTACTTGGGTTGTCTGTTACGCAGCTCGTCCTCGGGCTGCATGCTACGCAACTCGTCGCAGATGTCATGCGACATGTCCAGTCCTGCCGTATACGCCGTCATGCACGCGCTTATAACAATGGCCACCATGTCGTTGAAGTGTGGTTGGTAGCCCATTCTGGACGAGGTAGCTCGTTCTTTTGAAAGCTGCACCTGTTATGGTAGCATCTGCTCGCGCCAGTACTCCTCCATGCATGTACAGCGCGGGCGCGGCCGCAAGACACCCTCGCAAGAAGCCCAGCCCAAAAGACCCGCACGAGAGGTGCGACTGGGGGGAAGTCCAGTGTATCTCGAACAAAGCAGCTCCTGCAACTGCCGCGGAAAGTCATCGAGCAGCGTGAGGAACGAAGAAACCCAGGGGACCCTGCCGAAAAGCATCTGGTTTCTTGATGCGCGGCCCCCTCTGTACGGTCTCGGCATACTTGCCGGTGGGCCTCCACATGTGCAAGGTGGGCCCGTCTCGTAGGCCTGTGCTACTGTTGGAGATGCCAGCCGTGCTGCCGTGTTTTTCAACAACTCTTGTCGTTGCTCTCCAGCTGGTGGATGCTGTTGTTAAAACAGGGCTAGGATCGGGATAAATCGCTCCAAAGCGTTCCGGCGCGCTCTCAGAGCGTTCCGGAACGCTCTGGAGCGGCCGCGGCGCCCAATACATCCTCCAAACCCGCCGACTCTCAGAGATTTCGAGTTATCCCGATCCGATTTTGTCCCGATCTTCGCGTCGTTTTAGCGAGGGGTCTGGGTGTATTGCTCTCACCTGGGCTCTTCGCCCCTGGCCTCGCCCCCGACCGGCGCGCGCCTCGCGCTCCCGTGGAGGGGGGGGAGGAGGAGGAGGAGGAGGAGGAGGAGAGGAGGAGGAGGAGGAGGAGGAGGAGGACGAGGAGGAGGAGGAGGATCCGATTTTGTCCCGATCTTCGCGTCGTTTTAGTTGTTGTCGCGGCTCGCCACCTCCACGTGACACGGGCGCCGCCCGCCTCCCACGGCGAAGCGGCGCGCCGAGGCCCGCCGCGCCAGGGGCGCTCGCGTGGCCGGGCGCGGCGCCTGGAGGCGAGCCCACAAACGGCCTTGGTCCTCCTCTCTCACTCCTCACTCCTCCTCCTCCTCCTCCTCCTCCTCCTCCTCCTCCTCCCTATCCTCCTCCTCCTCCTCTCCTCCTCCTCCTCCTCCTCCTCCTCCTCTCTCCTCTCCCTCCTCCTCTCCTCCTCCTCCTCCTCCTCCTCCTCCTCACCCTCCTCGTCCTCGTCGTCCTCCTCCTCCTCCTCCTCCTCTCCTCCTCCTCCTTTCGCACTGTCGCCGGGTCCGGCGTTTCCCCGTGGATCGCCTTCGGGCGGCCCCGAAAGGCCCGGGACGGGCCCCAACAGGGGACGACCGCAGCGACGGACCCCTCGCCGCGATCCTCTCACCACGCGAGGAGGAGGAGGAGGAGGAGGAGGAGAGAGGAGGAGGAGGAGGAGGAGGAGGAGGAGGAGGGGAGGAGGAGGAGGAAGAGGAGGGAGGAGGAGGAGGAGGAGGAGGAGGAGGGGGAGAAGGGGAGGAGGGGGGGGAGGAGAGGGGAGGAGGAGGAGGAGGAGGAGGAAGGAGGAGGAGGGAGGAGGAGAGGAGGAGGAGGAGGAGGAGGAGGGGAGGGGAGGAGAGGAGGAGGAGGAGGAGGAGGAGGAGGAGGAGGAGGAGGAGGAGGAGGAGGAGGAGGGTCTGGGCTGCTGGGGCCCGGCCGGGGAGGCGTGGGCGGCCCCGCCGCGCGGGGAGGGCCGACGGGCGCGGCTGCGACGGTGGCGGCGGGCGGCGGGGCTCCTCGATCGCCGGGCCGCCTGTCCCTCTCGACCTGCAACGGGGGCGACGGGGCGCGCGAGGTGGCGACGGCGTCGACGACGGCGTCGACGTCGTCGGGCGCACCTCGTGGCAGCGTCGGCGGCGGCGTCGTCGGCGGCGTCGTCGAGGTCGCGTCCGAAGTCGCGTGCGAGGACCGCGCGCCGACGTCGAGCGCCGAGGACGAGGACGACGAGGCGTGCCCGACGACGACGACGACGACGACGACGACGACGACGACGACGACGACGACGACGACGACGACGACGACGAACGACGAACGCCCCAGAGCTCATAAGAGACGATTCTATCAACCGGCGTATTTCTCCAGGTTCGGCCCTGGCGGTCTGGGACCACGAGCAATGGGTCGGGGACGGAAAACCACCCCCAGGGAAGCGGTCGGGACCTCTGGGGCCGCGGATTTAAAAGACCATCTCGCCAGGAGCTGGGCCCGACGTCGACGACGGTGTCGACGTCGACGCCAGCCCCGCCACAAAGTGCACCCGACGTCGTCAACGAAGGGGGACCCCTGCCCCCTGCCCCTCTCCCGACGTCGTCGACGACGGGGCCGGAGGAGGAATCGATCTCGCCACCACGGAGGGGAGGCTCGCTCTCCCTTGCAGGCGAAGGGGCGTGGCCCGAGGAGCAGCGAGAGATCGGTGGGGCCCTGGGGAACGCATCTGTTCATTTGCGGCCATAGCGGGCGTTCTGGGGCGGGGCGGGGGGGAGGAGGAGACGGGAGGGGGCAGAACGTAGCGCTCCCCCCCCACTGTGGTGCCGGACGCACTGTGGTAGTGCCGGGGACGCACTGAGGGGGGGGGGGGGGCGTTACGTTATCGGGGGGAGGGAGGAGGAGGAGGAGGAGGGTAGGAGGAGGAGGAGAGGAGGAGGAGAGGAGGAGGAGGAGGAGGAGGGGGAGGAGGAGGAGGAGGAGGAGGAGGAGGAGGAGGAGGTGGAGGAGGAGGAGGAGGAGGAGGAGGGGGAGGAGGAGGAGGAGGGGGAGGAGGAGGAGGAGGAGGAGGAGGAGGAGGAGGAGGAGGAGGAGGAGGAGGAGGAGGAGGACGATGGCCCAGAGGGTCAAACCAAACACGCTCTCTCGAGACACGGGGCCCTGGAGGGGAGGCAGCCCCGAACGGTGCAGCACCCCACCCAGGGAAGCCACTTCTCGGCAACCTCGGGGCGGGCCCCGCCTTCGGAGAGCCCCAATGCGAGAGATAAGGAGCCCACAAAGGACGTACGCGCCCAGCTATGTACATGAACACGGCCCCGCGATTCGCGAGACCCGCCGCGTTATGCGAACATTTGTGCAATGCGTGCTCTCGAAACCAGCGTGGATTCATGTACATGTACGTCCTTGTTTCGCTCCTGAAGAGAGGGCCCCGCCCGTGGGCGGGAGCGGCCGAGCGGACGGCGGACAGAGCAGGAGGCGAACGCCGCTGCATCGCCTCGTGCCCAGCGCGTGGCCGTCGGTGTGCAGAGCCGACCAGCCATAACTGGGGGAGCTGTGGTCCTTACCCCCCTGGGGGAACCCGACGGCGAGCACCCCTCCTCCTCCTCCTCCTCCTCCTCCTCCTCCTCCTCCTCCTCCTCCTCCTCCTCCTTCTCTTTCTCCTTATCCTCCTCCTCCTTCTGTACAGGCACATGCCCGTTTCAAGCCTAGACATAGGTCTGAGCTCCTGTTGTTCGCAGGATCTCTGCGCCTCGGTGCAGAACCGACCAGCCATGACTGGGGGAGCTGCGGTCCTTACCCCCCTGGGGGAACCCATCGCCTCGACGACCTCTCGAGAGGGGTGTCGACATCGATGGGTCCCCCAGGGGGGTGAGGACCACAGCTCCCCCAGTTTGGGCTGGCCTGCAGAAGGAGGCCGGTCCGCAAGAGACCCTGCACACGAGACCCAGGCCCGAGACCCCGGGACGCCCGTTGATCTGCGGTGTGGGAGCGTCACGCTGGCCACAGCAAGACCACCGAGGCCCACGAGAAACCCGGGGCACCCTGGAGGCAGGCAGGGTGCTTCCTGGCATGGGTCTCAGCTGCACTCGGCACGCAGCCGCGCCTGATGGCATGCTCACGGTGGTTCGGTCAGAGGGTGTGTTTGTAGATGAGGAGAGGCCCGCACGTCCCTCCAGGCCTGCCCGGCGCGGAGTTGGCAGGCAGGGCGGAGGGAGCGCGCATCGCCGAGGGAAGCTCGTCTCTCCGCTGCAGCCGAGAGCCGACGACGGCGAGGACGACGAGGCGCGCCCCGACGCCGACGACGAAGCCAGCGAAGACGAGAGCGGGGCGCGCGCAGTCGACGAAGACGTCGACGACGGCACCGCCGCACTGGTGCGTCCGACGGTCGTCGACGAAGGGGGCGACGGCGAGCACCCCTCCTCCTCCTCCTCCTCCTCCTCCTCCTCCTCCTCCGCCTTCCCTCCTCCTTCCCTCCTCCTCCTCCTTGCTATTCGCAGGATCTCTGCGCCTCGGTGTCACTCGCTCCCGCCTCCTCCCTTCTGCACTCAGGGCCGCCCCGTGCTCAGCTCAGCTTCGCCATGCTCGGGTGTACTGCCACTCAGACTTACCCACGCACAACCATTCGCGTGTCCGACCACTCACACTCTGACTCAGTCATACACACTCCGTTCATATCTCGACTAATTTAAAATGGCTCACTCATACTAGGAACCGCTCAAACTCAGACTCACGCCTACCCAGACAGACTCACAGGCAGAAAGACTCATTCATACGAAGACTCACTTACACCCAGACTCACCCGAACTGTGTCTCTCTGATACCCCGGCCAATTCATAGTCGTATGCACCTGTACGCACATCAAATCATGCTCAGACTCCTGCGACCAGAACGACGTGGCAGGCACTTCACCCGGACACCCCAAGGAGGAGCCGCCAAGGAGTATGTCAGTGTCCCGTCCGCCCCCCGATTGGGCACGGCTCGAATGGTTCGCTCGGTTGGCGTCCCGACTCCTCCCTGTGGGAGCCTCATGGCCCACCGCGATGTGAACGGCATTGCATCGGGCTGGGCACCACAAGGAGGAGCCGCCGGAGGGTGTCGCACGCTCTCCGTCGCACCAGTTTCGGGGGGACGCCTCTCGGACCCCCGACTCCTCTCCGATCACAGCCCCATGACCGCCGCGATGTGGCAGGCATATAACACTTGGGTCACGTCGGGGGGCATTGCCCTTCATGCCTCCATGCGCGGCTAGACTGTGGGGATGTCTCCGGCAGGTCCTTCGTTTGGCGTCCCCGACTCCGCTCTTTTGAGACCCGAATGGCCACGGCAATAAGGCAGGCACAGCACTCGGGCACCCCCCCGGCGCGCTGGGTGGGCGTGCCGGGGGTTGTCGCCTGGTGCCCGCCGGCAGCCGAGCGGCCATGCATGACGCGCGTGCTATGGTTGCTGCGCGCAGTCGGGGCGTGGACCTAAGGAACACATACAGAAGGAACGAGGCCCCTTTTTTTCGTATGTTGAACTTCAACTTCCCATCGAGAATCGAAGGAGAACCGAAGGCAAGCTGAGGAACAATCAAGGCATACGGAGCCCATCCCGAAAAAGAAACGGGTTCCTTCTTCGGCGCCCCGACTGTAGCCTCCCATGGCTTGGCTTCGTACAGTCGGACCCAGGCCAGTGTCATCTGTAATCGCAACGCAACCGCATGCAATATGCGCACGCTGAGTCTGCTGATGCACATGATGTGTGCAGTCGTGCTGCGTGCAAGCATGTCTGGTGGAAATATGGAATGTAAAATGAGATTGCGCAATTGCATCGTGTAATTGTGTGCGGCGGCTTCTGCTGTCCATGGTCCCGTGTTGGATCTCGAGGCCCGCTGATTTACGTGATCCGCCGAGGACGATGGGCGAGAGACCAAGGGATTCGATATTCAGGGAACGTGTTGACAGCTGCTCTCATTAGCGTGGCACAACTCAAGGATCTCACGCTCGTGAGTTGCGGTCCTCCCCACAGGTGAAGCGAGAACCAGCCACTCCGAGGAAGCGTGCAATGGGGGACTTTGAAGAGAGAGGCGAAGGAGGCATGCTCAACACGAGAGAGAGGGGCGGGAAGGGCAGGGCAAAGCTCAGGGATGGGACAGAATTGGGCGACATAGGTAAGGGTTGAGACGGCACGGCTAGAGTACATATACTCTGTGATGGCCGGCGGTGCGCCTACTTTGGCAATCTGCACTGTACGTCCTGCCCATTTCAAAAGAGGCTTGTGCCAGCTCTCAGTGGTCACGCTGGGCCCAAGAATCATGCCAAGATAGGTCAGGGAACTCACAACCTGGAACGCTCCCCAGTCGGGGAGAAAGTTCTGAAGCCAGAATCGATACTTGGCGACGAGGGTGGCCGAGAAGGGGCCCGCAAGCGGAACCAGGAAACACTTGGCATACTTGAGCTTGAGACACGCAAGGGCCTCACTGCAGTCGAATACGGCCTTCAGTTGAAGAAGATCACGAAGCGCTGAAACCACAGATCCAATATCATCAGCACACGCCCTTGCCATACTCATCTGGCGTTCTCGAGCTCGACCAATGAGATCTTCTCGCAGCTCGCCAGGTGGCACATCATTCTGAGCTTCCAGCCGTTTCCACATATCCACGAGAAATGGGTGGCTCCCGACGGCGAAAAGGGCGCCAGACCCTGGGCATCCTTGAATGATCCCCGACATGATGTAAAACAAGAAGCAGCACACTCTGCCGAAAGTGCCAAAGCAGCGAACGTTCGTATACAACGTCTCTACGAAGATCTGCATGGGCAGCGGCACATGGAAGGCAGCAAGCGTCATCATGATCCATCGGTGCGCGACCGACGGGAAGGCCTGTCCGTAATCGAAAGATATCAAGGCTGGAAGCCGAGCAGCGGCATCGGGGAGCATCGAAACCATTCGGGCTCGCACGTCGAGCTCGAGAATATTTAGACCAAAATTCCTCCCTCCGACGAATCCCCTTTGAGAATAATGGACTTTATCACCCAGTCGACGGGATAAACTCTCGAAAACGACGCCCGTGACCAGCTTGTTCGACGATTGTTTTAGTCCTAGAGGCCGGGTAGCTTCAGCGTTCCGAACGATCATATGGGAATCCTGCTCCTCATCTCCTTTGGCTATGAATACTCCTCGAACATCATTGAATGCTGGTAACATGCTCCTCCCACTTAATAACCACCAAACCACCTCATCATCTCCTCCTCCTCCTCCTCCTCATCCACTCCTCCCTCCTCCTCCTCCTCCTCCTCCCTCCTCCCTCTCCTCCTCACTCTCCTCCTTCTCTCCCTCCTCCTCCTCCGCCTCCTGAATCCTCCTCCTCTTCCTCCTCCCTCCTCCCTCCTCTCCTCCCCCTCCCCCTCCACCTCCACCTCCTCCTCCTCCTCCTCCTCCTCCTCCTCCTCCTTTCTCCTCATCCTCCTCCTCCTCCTCCTCCTCCTCCTCCTCCTCCTCCTCCTCCTCTTCCCTCCACCGCCCGCCCCGTGTCCCGAGCCTGTGGCAAGGTCATCAGCTCGTCGTTGTCGTTATCGTCGTGGTCGTCGTCGTGGTCGTCCTCGCCGTCGTCCTTCACAATACAGTCTGACCCAGGCCAGCAGAGCATCCCTCAAGAACATGAGGCCCTCCGCCGGCCAGAACAGCCGGAATACCCAAGGGGCACTGCCACTGGGGCCTTCGGTGGAGCTCCCTATCGGGCCACGATCCGTGTGAAGGGTGTGCCGAAATTGGGCGGCGGTACCATGCGGACCCTGCCACTGGGGCCTTCGGTGGAGCTCACTATGGGGCCACGAACCGCTTGAGAGGTGTGTGCCGAAAGGGCGCGGCGGTGCCATGCGGACCCTGCCACTGGGGCCTTCGGTGGATCTCACTATGGGGCCCCGAACCGTGTGAGGGGTGTGCCGAAATGGGGCAATGGTGCCATGCGGACCCTGCCGCTGGGGCCTTCGGTGGAGCTCCCTGTTGGGCCACGAATTGTGTAAAGAGTGTGCCAAAATAAAGCAATGGTGCCATGCGGGCCCTGCCACTGGGGCCTTCGGTGGAGCTCGGGCCACGAAATGTGTGAAGGGTGTGCTGAAATTGGGCGGCGGTGCCACACGGACCCTGACCGTGCCACTGGGGCCTTCGGTGGAACTCCCTACGGGGCCACGAACCGTGTCAGGGGTGTGCCGAAATTGGGCGGCGGTGCCATGCTGACCCTGCCACTGGAGCCTTCGGTGGAACTCCCCATGGGGCCACGAACCGCGTGAGGGATGTGCCGAAATTGGGCGGCGGTGCCATGCGGACCCTGCCGCTGGGGCCTTCGGTGGAACTCCTATGGGGCCACGAACCGTTTGAGCGATGTGCTGAAAGGGTGCGGCGGTGCCATGCGGACCCTGCCACTGGGGCCTTCGGTGGAACTCACTATGGGCCGGCCACGAACCGCGTGACGGGTGTGCCAAAATGGTGCAGCGGTGCCATGCGGACCCTGCCACTGGAGCCTTCGGTGGAGCTCCCCATGGGGCCACGATCCGTGTGAAGGGTGTGCCGAAGTGGGGGGTCGGTGCCATGCGGACCCTGTCACTGGGGCCTTCGGTGGAACTCCCTACGGGGCCACGAACCGCGTGAGGGGTGTGCCGAAATGGTGCGGCGGTGCCATGCGGACCCTGCCACTGGAACCTTCGGTTGTGCTCCCCTTGGGGCCACGATCCGTGTGAGGGGCGTGCCGACATGGGACATATGTATGCACAGAACAGAGGCACGACGCTGACGATGGCGACATTGATTTAGGTTCGGCAATGGCGACTACAGCCGGTCCACCGCCATATCGCGCGAAGAAGCTCGAATTCTAAAAAACTTCGTAAAATCTCTAAGCCCAAACCTGCGAACTTCTCAAACTCTTAAAAAAAAAAACATATACAATAATCTCTAAGACAAAACCTGTGCAAATTTCAACACCTATAGAAAGAAATAAAACATATCTAAGCCAAAACCTGCGAACATCTCAAACTCTTTAAAAAAAAAAAAAACAGCTCTAAACCGAAGCCAGCGAACATTCAAATTCTATTAAAAAATCAACAAACTCTAAGCCGAAAACTGGGAAATCCCACAATTACAAACAATCTAAACCGGAATTCTAAAACAACTCTAAAAACTAAGAAGAAACTCTTGGTAAACTATGTTTCAGCTCTGAACGCCTAAACTCTTTGGGAAACTGTGAAAATTTGTTTTACACAAAAAAGTTAAACGCCTGAAAATTCTGGGAAACAGCTGTGGAAAGATATGGAAAACTCTAACAGACAACTAAAACACCTCTAAACAAATTTATGATCGCCTGGCGAACTCTAAGGGAACTCTAGGAACACTTAGAACACTCTAAATGCAAACCCCGGCGGCCCAGGAAACTTAAAACAACTTCAGGGAACTTACAAAATCTGGCCGCACAAACATCAAGCATCTGTTTTCAATATCTCTGCTTAAACTTTTTCTGAAGTTTCGGTGTCAGGCTTTTTTTGGGTTGAGATTTTCCCGGGTTTTGGCTTAAGTTGGTTTGCGCTTGTTTTCGGGCTTGAGATATTAGCAATTGCTGAAGATGTTCCGAAGATTTCGGCTGGTTTCTCGATGGACATCCTGTAGTAGAATTGCCGAACATAAATGTTGATGACGCCGATGATGGCGATGGTCACCGCGATGAAAATTACGATACTGATGGTGATGACGGCACGCGGAGAGGAGAGGCCGGTGTGTGTGTGTGTGTGCGTGTGTGTGTGTGCGTGTGTGTGTGTGTGTGTCTGTGTGTGTGTGTCTGTGTGTGTGTGTTTGTGTGTCTGTGTGTGAGTGTCTGTGTGTCTGTGTGTCTGTGTGTCTGTGTGTGCGTGTCCTTGGGCCCCTTTTCAGAGTGGGGGGCCAGGAAGCAGGTGGGGTCGAGCGGATCCTGGCCCGAGGCGGGTGCGCGGACGAGGGGGGGGGGAGGGGGCGCTTCGGACAGAAGAGGAGCGGGGGGCCGTGGACTTGCCATCGCTCAGGCGTCCACTCCCCGTATATGCCTTCGGCCTCACGAGGGAGGGGGGGGGGGCTGGGCGCGCGGTGATGGAAGAGAAGGGGGCCAGCCTGGACCTGCCAGCGCCCGGACGTCCGCTCCCCCGTGCACCTGTCGGCTCCGCAGGTGCTTCTCTTGCCAGATGATGTTCAGGGTGGTGGGCGTCTTCTTATGCGGCGCTTCGACATTGGGCGGAAGGGGGGGGGGGAGGGGGGGGGGGGTCTGGCTCCGGACCTCTGCTCCGTGCGACTGTCTGCAGCAGTGGGGTCCTATGGGGGGAGGCCCCACCCTGATCGAAACAGGCGCCCCAAACAGCCAATATTCACTCCATGGGGGAGGGGTGGGAGGGGGGGGGGGGACGGGGCCCCGCGCCGATCGGCAAAACAACGAATTTCAAGAAACGATCACGTGCTCCTCGATGGTCCTCACTGGGGAAGTATGCCCACGTCCGAGCGATGCCAAGTGGAATGCAGGGGATGCCGTGGCCCTGGCCATGAGATCCACCCTCCAGTGCTCACCCTCTCCTGCGACGCCCCAGGCTAAGAGGACGAACAGAGAAGCCGGGTCAGGGGGGGGGGCATCGACCTCGGATCGTCGATACGTCGCCGACTGATCGAAGATAGGCTGCCGATAGCGAATCCGCACGTGGCTGGGCGGGGTGGGTATTGTGCCCCTGTCGGCGATGACTGGGCGATTCGGGGTCGATGCATCCCCCCTCGGGCCTATCCCCACCAAACGTTGCCCCTTGGATTGCGGGTCGCACCTCGGCTCTCCGGCGGCCGTTCGGGACGACTCGGGCACCACGGCACGCCCTCGACGAGGCGCAGGTGATGGAAACCATCTACGGGTTCGAACACTTCAAGGAAACCATTGGATCGGCGAACTGAGCCGATCCCCCCTTGACGTTGCCCCTGAGGCAACTCCTCCTCCTCCTCCTCTTCCTCCACCTCCTCCTCCTCCACCTCCACCTCCACCTCCACCTCCACCTCCACCTCCTCCTCTTCCTCCTCCTCCTCCTCCTCCGCCCCCTCCTCTTCTCCTCCTCCTCCTCCTCCTTCTCCTCCTCCTCCTCCTCCTCCTCCGTCTCCTCGAGGCAAGACGGCGCGGGCGGCGCAGGAGCCAGCGAAGCGTCCGCGCAGCGCGCCCTCACGCGAGCAGGGCGGCGCACGCCGCCGCGGCCGCCGCGAGGAGGGCGGCGCTCGCCCGGGGGGCGCCGCTGCGCTCGTCGGAGGCCCCGGCGGAGAAGACCACCAGCTCCTCGGGCAGCGAGGGCGGCCCGCGAGGAGGAGGCGGCAGAGGGCGGCGAGGCGCGGGGGGGAGGACCCAGGCGCGAGGGGGGCGTGGCGGGGCTCGGCCCCAGTGGGCGCGCGGCCTTCCGAGAGGACCGCCTCTAGTTGGCGGCGCGCACAAGGGGGCGGGGGGAGGGGGGGGGGCTTCTTAGACGGAGGCTGCTTCTTACAAGGCGCCATTCTTACATCTGTAGGTAAGGCCCGCGCCGTCTGAGAAGCAGGGGTGCTTCTAAGAAGCCCTCCCCCCTCCCCCCTCTGCGCGTGGCTGATCTACGTCGTGAAGCTTTCTTTTTTTTCAGAGGCTGCAGCATGGACAAGGAAGCAAGCAACCACATAGGAGCCCCACCTCTGATGCACCGATCTCTGCGGAACAGCGGCACGGGTTCCGAAGTTGAAGGGTGCCCGCAGCCAAGAGAGCCCCAGCGAGGGTGTCCGATGTCCCAACGTAGACTGGACCCACAGGAAGACAGTTCGCACTTGTTGGTCGCAGACTCCTGGGCAGGATCGGCCATCTCTGGGAACATGTCCTACACGGCTCGGGACTGAGACAACATCGGACCAAGATCTCTGAGATCCGGCAAGGCTGTATCATGTATGAGACATGATACATGATACATGATCTTGAACGTTCTGTAGCGATCCCAATCCTGGGCTCGCCCGATCACCCCACCCAACCTTCGGATCGGGCCGCATCGGCACAGAGCCTAAACGGGATCAGATCGGTTGTGCAACGATGCACAAACGTGCTATGCATACATGATCCAGGGTCGAGGGTTCACAGCCCCCCCCCACGATGTCCAAGATGGGATGGGTCCCAGGGTTACGCAGACCCCCGCCGAGACGATATGGGGGAGAGGGGACAACGATGCCGACGCCGACGCCGACACCGACGATGCCGACGCCGACGCCGACGACGCCGACGCCGACGGACGACGACGCCGACACCAGCGCCGACGCCGACGCCGACGCCAACGGACGACGACGACGACGCAGCCGCCGCCGACGCCGACGCCGACGCCGACGCCGCCGACGCCGACGGACGACGACGACGACGCCGACGACGGCGGGGACGACAACGACAACGACGACCACGACGAGGACGACGACGGCGGGGACGACGACGCCGACGACGACGACGACGACGACGACGACGAACCACCCCACACCCGCAGGGAGACGGGGAAGGGTGCACTGGCACCCTCCACCACGCCACGCCCGCAGGACCACGATCGCAGGGATGGGGGGATTGCGATCCCATTCGCGAGGCCTTCGCGAGGCTCACGGGCGGACCCGTCCAGCGGGGGCGGCGGGCTCGATCCCGTATGGATTGGGTGGGGGGAGGGGGGAGGCAGCCCGGGAGCACACATCGGGCCGCACGGGATCGTCGGAATCTTGGAGCTGGCTCGGTCCGACCTGGCCGTCCGACCTGGCCGGAACCGACGTCGGAACGGACCGATACGATCGGAGCAGACCCTGTCCTGGGGGATGCCGTCGCTGCCGCCCACTCGCATGACGACGTGCTTGCCGCCGTCGGTCGCCGACAGCGCGACCGTCTTCGAGCTCTTGCTGCTCGAGTCGTCAAGGCTCACCTGGTAGGCGCCCGGGGCAAGGCTCACGGCCGTGCCAGGCTTCAGCTGCGCGGACTCCTTCCCGTGCCCCTTGCCCTGCGCGATCTTCAGGGCGCCCGGCGCGGTGCCGTCGTACGCGTCGACGACGGCGAGCTGCGCTTGCTCCTGCGCGACCGAGAACGCGTGCGAGTAGAAGGTCGCCGCCATGGTACTGTTTCCCTTGCGGTACGGGACCAGCAGCAGCGACGTGGGGGCGAACGGGAGGTTACCGACGTGGAACGTGCCGACGCTGAGACCCCCGAGTTTGAAATCAATGCGCTCGCTGTCCGCCAGCTCGAGGACGATCTCCTTGCAGGCCTTGTACTGCAGGGGCTCTTCTGTGAGCTTCGCCTTCTGGTTGACGGTGTAGACGCTGAGGGGTTTATTCTCTGCGTAGGCGTTGCAAACGGTCAGGTTGTGCTGGATGCCCACGTCCTCAACCTGCAGGGCAGCGCCAGCAGAGGCGAGGGCGCTGATAACCAGGGAGCGGACGATGGCCATCGCTGCTGAAGGAATTGAGGAGTCCTGGGTAATTGTATATTCTCGGTGAGCAGAAGTCACGTGCTTGCGCCAAGACAGCGGATTACGAACGAACAGCATAGATGATGAAGAGGAATGAAAATGAGTAGGAGGATGGAGCGGCGAAGAAGAGCGGAACAGGGAGGGAAAGAAGGACGGTGGATGACAGGGGGGTATATGCAGGGGCTGGGAATGTGGATGGGGACGGGAAGGAGGTTACGGAGGAGGACGAGCGATGGAACGGAGGAGGAGAGCGGGGAGGATGAAAGGCGGGGGTCTGGGGGGACAAGGAGGAATACGTGATGAGGATAAAGATGGGGGAGGGAAGGGAGGGGGAGGCACACAGTATGTGTGAACATTCATCCTCCGGCTTCACCACGCAACCCAAATCTCCGACGTCATGATTGTTGTCGAACGTGGACCCGCAGAGGGTGCCGGTTTTTTGGTTGACCCAAAAGGGGGTCCAGCTGAAAGGGGGTGGTACAATAGATTTGGGGCAACTGTATGGCAATGTGTTGCGCCTGAGAACTGAATTGCATTATATTGCAACTAATGTGCTGCACGCGAAAAAAAATCCAGCAATACATGGGCGCCCAGGAGTGTATTGCACGCTCCAAATCTATGACAGCCCCACACACCCATTGCGCCAGATCTATTGCACCAACCCTTTTTCGCTGGACCCTCTTTATGGCCAACAAAGGGTTTCACCAAGAATCGTTTTGATACCATTCTGGGATCTGGAGAGGGCCCCCGAAGGCCAGCGCAGCCAAAAACTTATCATCGTACTTTCGCTGGACGAAGAAAGGCCTTGGCTTGTCGGGTTTCGGGCCAGACCTCGGACTATGAGTCTGCCGTCGGCTGACACCCTACAAGCCGCCACGCTGGTCCTGGGCAAGCTGTGCTGCCCGGCGGAAGGGGACGAGGGGGGGACCCGAACGGAAATTTCGAGCCCTCGGCCCCAAGAAGCCTCCAGGAGGCCCCAAGAGGCCCCTAAGGGGCTCCAAGAGGCCCACCAAAGGCCCAAAAGAGGTTCCAAGAGGCCCCAAAACGGCCCCCAAAAGGCTTCAAAAGTGCTGCCAGGAGGCCCCCGAGAGACGTACCCTGGTTCCCCCTCAAGGGGTCGGCGGTGCGGTGTGAGCCCAAGAATCTTCATTCCTGGCCAACAAAAAATCCGCGCGAAATTCACTTCGAAGTCCGGAACAACATTCTCTAGGGAACTCCGGGCCATCCCATTGTTTTCCGAACGAGATCCGCGCGATGCTGGCGCCATGACACGTTCTTTCCGTACCCGTTTCGATCATCCCGAGCGACGGCGGGGGGCGGTGCTCCCCCCCCGAGCCCAATCTCTTCTCCCTGTCGGCGCCCGTGCGTGCCGCAGGCTGTGCGCCTGGCAGAGGCGACGAGAACCCCCATCGGGACACGCCCAGAAAACCTTGCGCGCCAGGCACGGCCCGGCGGCGACGTCGACTGAAAGACGCAGTCAGGACGAGGATAACATCGGGTCAAGGCTCGGGTCGGGCGAAAGGAGGGGATAGCAAAGGGGGGGTTTGAGAATCAGCTCACGTAGCTGATTTTCCCGGCGCCTCCTGGCGCCGGAGGCGGCTATGTATCGAGGAATGGGCCCCTCGGTGAGGCCGAAACCAGATGCATGCAGCAAATTTCGTAACCCCCCCTTTCCCAATCCCCCCCCTTTCGCCTGGCCCGAAAGGTACATCGAGAAGCTCTGGGACCCGGCGGCTCTGGAGAACGTCTCGGGCGCCGGGACCTTCTCGGAGAGCGTCCCGTTCAGACCCCGACGTCGTGATTTTTCTGTCACGGCGTCGACCCCCAGAGGTCTGGACCCCTTCCCAGAGACCAGTGTTTCATGCGGATTCGTCTTTTGATGGTCCCGAGGCCGGGTCAGGGCCCCCCTGGGCCGAAAACGGCGAAAAACCTCCCGTCGCGATCTTTCGCAACGCGAGGGGGTCTGGGAAGAAGCAGCCTTCTGGCGGCGCGCATGAGGGCGTGGCGCGAGAGAGGGCGACCGTCTCAGAGGGCAGGAGGCTCTGAGCAGGCAGGGGACCTTCCAAGAAGCCACCCCTGGCTTCCTGCGAAGCCTTCTCGCACGCCCCTCGCATCCCTAGCAGAATTAAGTCGGGCACGTCTCCCTACAGGCCGATTTTGGCCAACAAATAAAAATAATCGAAGACATACAGAAAATATCAGAAATCTTAAAAAATCGTCCCCAGACTATATTTGGCATATTTTTGAATATTCCTCCTGTAGAGGGACACCCCCGACTTAACCCTAGAAGGAAGGCCCCCCTCTCGCGCCACCCCTCGAACCTCGAGACTCGAGTCTGCAGCCCAGCTGCTCCCAGCACAGCGGCAACCGTATCAGATTGGTTTCGACCCCATTGAGGGAGATTGCACAGCGCACGGAGTAAGTATCTATGGTGCGGTGGGCTCGGCGGGTGCTGCTTGGCCTGGCGTGCTCTGGTCTGGTCTGTTTTGGTCCACGTGTTTCTGCCTTCTTCCTCGTGTTCTCATTCCACTTGGTCCTCGTCACTTCCACCCTCATGGCAATATTCCCCATCTTTCTCCGTCTCCTCTCGTTCGGTACCCAGACATGCGACGTCCTGATTTTTGTTCAGGACGACGTCCCTGGAGGTTCCGACCCTTTCCACTCCCTTTCCCTGGGACCATTTTTTCGTCCTGAGTCGTTTCTTGCCGGACCCGAGGCCCGGCGAGGCCCCCCCCGAGACCGAACAAAATAGCCCAAAGCCTCCCGTCCTGTTTTTTCATTTGTTGCCACGACGCGAGCATGTCTGGGTGCCCTCCTCGCTCTCCTCCCTCCCCCCGCTCTGGTGCCGCTGGGGGTGCTGCGCAGGGGGCGAGGCCCCTCGCGCTGGCTCCCGAGGCGCCCGGCGCCCTCGTCGCCGCCGGGGGCGGTGCCGCCCCCCCCCGCGCCGCGGGGGGCGACCTCGGACCGCCTCCAGGACTGGGGCCCGGACTTCGAGAGGCCCTGCGGGGGGGCGGCGGCGGCGGAGCGGCGCGGACCCGGACACTCCCAGACAGGAGCGCGTCGTAAAGAGAAATCGGGGCGGGAGGCGGAGGCGGAGGCGGAGGCGGAGGTGGAGGAGGAGGACGAGGAGGAGGAGGAGGAGGAGGAGGAGGTGGAGGTGGAGGAGGAGGAGGAGGAGGAGGAGGAAGAGGAGGAGGAGGAGGAGGAGGAGGGGGATGAGGAGGAGGAGGAGGACCCCCCGGGGGGCCCTCGCCCGGCCTCGGGACCGTCAACAAAACGACTCGGGATGGAAAACCGGTCCCGGGGGGAAGGGTTCGGGGCTTCCAGGGGCGCCGTCCTGGAAACAAAATCAGGACGTCGCACGTCTGGAAATTGCAGCCCGCCCCTGGAAAGAAGCCCAGACCCCAGGCGTTCGACGAAGAGATGTCCAAGGGTGTGGTTTCTCTCGGGGGCGGCCAAGAGGGGGGCGTCCAAGATGGGGGGGCGCAAATCATGGCCAGCGGCATGTGCGCGGCCCAGGGGGTGGCCACGGACGTATTGAAATAAGAAGAGGCGCCCTGAAATCAGGGGAGATATCATGGCCCCCGCCACGATATCCACATCCCCCTGGTCATCACCCGCTTTTTGGCAGCCCCCGATTCTCGTCCAGGCTCAATTGAAGGGGCCCAAGGACACACAAATAAATACACACAAATAAAAATACTCCCCATATTTTCCCATATTTTCTGGGTTTCTGTCTTCCCCCTCACTTCCTATATTTTCCTATATTTTCTGGGGGATCGAGGATTAATTGTGTCTGTGTGTTTTCTTTCCTCCTGATCAATGTTCTGATGGCCCCTGGGCCCGGTCACGGGCCCCAGAGGCCGAAATCGAGGAGAGGCGCCGGGGTTGGCAAGGACGCGCGGTAAGGATGCAAGGGCCTTGGACGCCCACGTCGAAGCTTCCCGAGCGGGGCGCAGCGAACGAAAGGTTTTTTTGATTTGCGCGCGGGTGATCGTCTGCCGAACACTCCTGCCCGTGGCGCCGAAACGACGAGCGAGGGGCCCGAAGAAGGGCCGAAAGAAACGAGGGACGGACCACCAGGACCCGACAGAGCCGAGCGAGGGACCGACCCGAGCAAACAGGGACAACGAGAAAAATCGAGGGCCCGATCAGACAAGCGATGCTGGCAAGACTGGTGAGACAATTTGAAGCCCGCTGGACCGAGGAGGCGAGGATGCAAGGATACCCTTGGGAAGGTTGCCCATCCTTCCTATGCGGGTTGACTCTAGGGGATCGACCACATAATGGATTTGCACCAGATTTTTGTTGGGTCGACTCTACGAAACAAGTACGTCGGATGGTTGTCGAATCTGCGAAAATGCTGCGTACTTTTCGCAAGTTCGTGGAACAAAAACTCTGGGGCACATCAATTATGTAGTCGATCCTGCTCGAGACATGATCGCGTGGTTGAATAAAGCACGACGGGCAATTTTTGGCCATTTTTGGCCTCCAGGGGCCCTCGCCTGGCCCCGTAACGACGCAGGACGCACAACTGGCCCCGGGGAAAGGGTCGCACGACGGGAGGTCTTGTCTTTCACCATTCTCGGCCCCTGAAGGCCGTCACCGGGCCTCGGGGCCGTCAGTCAACGACTCAGGACGAAAGACCTGTCCCAGGGAAAGGGTCGGGACTTCCAGGGACGTCGTCCCGAACAAAACTCAGGACGTCGCATGTCTGGGCTCGCGTTGTGCAAACATCGCGAAGGGAGGTCTTTTTTTTCAGCCTCCTGGGAGGCGACGGATGCAACCAATCCGCGCGGAGCGCCAAAAGTGTTATTTACGACGTTTGTTCTTCTTCAACTAGGCGGCGGGCGAGGGGGGGAAATGAGAAGGAGAAGGCCTTCTCAGAAGGCGGCGGGACTTCTCAGAAGCCCTCGCGCCTTCTGAGAAGTTTTTTCTGTCTTCGGGGAAGGCTCAGGAAACTTCTCAGAAGGCCGCGGAACTTCGGAGAGAAGGCCCGCCCCTTCTCAATTCCCCCCCTCGCTCGCCGCCGATCAGTTCTCGTCCTCCACATACGGTCGGGAACTTGTGCTTCGCGGCACTCAGCGTGTCGCTGCGGCGGCCACGGCCATGTGGCAGCCACCCGCGAACGGATAGTAGCGTGCGGCGCGCTTGGCGTGTCGCGCCGACGCTTGCTGGGCCAGAACTGGCGTTGTCCCACTCAAGCGAAATAGACGAAGACAAAAACTCCATGCACATAAACTTCTGGCGCTCCGCATGGCATTCTTGGATCCGCGCTGGGCCCCGCTTCCCGGCTCGCGGAGCGCTCCAGGGGCGGCGCAGGAGGCGCCGCCGGGGGGGCCCAGCGCGGATCCAAGAAGTCCGCGCGGAGCGCCAAAAGTGTATGCTTACGTCCTTCTTTCTTCTTCGATTCTCCCTTCTTCCTCATCCTGCATGTGTCGGACCGCCGTCTCTTAAGGGAGCTGCTGTATGGCACAGCCTGCTTTGATCAAGCGAGCAGGATGCTGCGCCGGCACGGTGGCGGAGCTTGCCGCGGGCACCTGGGCACAGCAGGTTCGTGCCGTGACGGCTTCGGCGTTGATTCCTGACACTGCGTGGCTCGTTCAGCCTGGCAGGATTGGCGGCTTCTCGATCGCTAGATCCTTCCATGTCGGCCGATATTGGGCCACTGACCGCGTCCAGCCTTGAACGCCCGCGGTGGATCACTCTGTTCCAGCGTCAGCGTGTGCCAGCCGTCCGCCGCCTGAGCCTCGGCGGGAAGCGTGAGATCGATGCCGGTGCTGACGGCACGTCGAAGCAGAGGGCTGCTGCCAGACAAGAGGCGAGCTTTGACGTGGCTGTGCTGGGGCCGCGGTTCTGCGTGTGCCCGAGGTGGCCTTCTCGACTCGCTCGTGCGTGCCGAAACGCTGCACCGCGACTAAGACATCCTCATCCTCTTCTTTCTCGTTCCTGCTCGTCCCCGCCCCATCCCTTCTCACTGCAGGCAGCTCCGCCGCGTCGCAGCCGCAGGCTTGTCGGTTTGGCCGGCCAGGCGTTCCGCCCGAGGCGCCCTCACCATTTGTGATCCTGAAGCTTGAAACTTGCAGCACATTCAAAACTGCAGGTCGGCATCTCTTCAAGATATGACTCTCGCCTTAGCGCCGCGAGCATTGGTCTCGAAAGCCTGCAACTGTTTTGCGGATGCAGGGCGGCTCCTGTTGAAACGGCGGTTCCCTCCCTTCGGCCGCGTGCATTCGTCCTGGAACTTTGCAGCAACTTCAAAGATTCGCAAAATTGAGGTCTGAAGAATGGTGCCGCGGTGTGGTTTAGGATTTGCAGGGTACAACCGTGACGTTGATTCGCGGCGTCGAAATCCAAGGAACAGTGTTCGGGGACGATTCCGGATAGTCCGGGCACAACAAGAACATTAATTTACGGGGTTGGAGTCCCAGGGGTTGTGTTTTGGCACGATTGAGGATTCTCAGGCGACTGTCTTCCAATGGGGAATTTCCAACAGTGATCATGCTTGGTTGTAACAGAGAGAGAGAGAGAGAGAAAGCGAGGAGTAATGGCAACATCGTTGATGCCTCTTGGCTTTACTCTGGTCCACCTCCACCGTGGTAGCTGTGTCGGCTGAAGAACATGAGGTTCCCTGACTAGTCCGTACTGCTGTCCCGCGGCTTCAGGGAGACCGTGCAACTACGGCACACGGTCCGCCCCAGCGTGGCTGCCTCCTGCTGCCCGCGTGTGCGCAGCCGCTGCCCGCGCTCAACCTGGATTACAAAACCATCACGACGTGGCACGGCGCTTGGGGCGATCGAGATGGGTACGGAAATTTGGGGTACAAAAACTGACAGCAGTTCCTGTTCATCTTGAACAGGACTCGCCGTCGACGTCGCCGCGGACTGTGCCTGGTTGAGACAGAAGGCCGCCTGCCCAACAGCAGCCGCTGCTGGTTTGGGGCATCATTTTCTGTTGGGCATTGTACCCATGTTTTCCGTGCTCATGTCGGGCGTCCAAAAGCACCTTTTGTGGTTGACGTGCGGGGGCAGGCGCGACGCGCAGCCGCCAGCGCCCCGCGAGGCCCCAAGCAGGCCGTGGGCCTCCTGGAGTTCCGCGAGCCGCTGCGCAGCGCACCCCCGGCCCGCGTGGCCTCGTGGCTTCGTGGCCGCGGCGCTGCGCCCTCTCAGCGGCGAGGCGGCCGGCGCGGGAGGAGGAGGAGGAGGAGGAGGAGGAGGAGGAGGAGGAGGAGGAGGAGGAGGAGGACCAGTGTAAACCAAAGAGTCATCAACGATGTTCGCATTGACCCTCCCCCAAGCTCCCTCTTCGTAGGCCCCTACAACGGTTCATTTCCATTGAAGGAACTGCCTCGTTGGACGACACCCTTGAAGACCCTGAAACCTGCCAAAACATTGTTCTCACGATTTCAACGCCACGGATCATCCTGACTTCTGCGTCTTGACGATCCGGAATCGTGGCAGAAAACCATTCTTCTGACTTCAACACCGCGAAACCATATAATTGTTGCACCCGCGTAATCCGGAATCCTTCGAAAACACAATTTCTGGCACGGTGATCATGGAGATCCGTGAAAGTCTTCAAAATTGTATGACCGAGTAAAGGCGGTGCTATAACGAGAGCCACATTTTGAAAAGGAACCGCCGTCAATCGGTGAAACTCTTGCGAATGTTGGAAGCGAATGTGCGCGGCGCTAGGGCGAGAGCCACATTTTGAAAAAGGAACCGCCCTCTATCCGTGAAGCTCCTGCAAATGTTTAGAACGAATGTGCGCGGCGCTAATGTGAGAACCACATGTTAAAAATTATCCCGGCAAAGCAAGCTAACAACGATGTGTAGAAGCATAGCTGGAAACGTTGCCTGTGGTATTCATGTAAGAATGCTGTTGTAGAATTCTGGTGTTCTCGCAGTCGCATTCGGATTCGCAGTGGCAGTCGCAGTGGCAACATCAGCGGCAGTCGCACTGACACTGCCAGTAGTTGCAGTAGCAATAGCTACACTAGCAGCAGCAACAGCAGCAGCAGCAGCAGCAGTAATAGTAACAGTAATTTGCACAGGACCGCTCAATGCAGCACGCTGAGGAACAGCGCTGTTCCCCGCCGCAGGCTGAGGAGCACCGCTGTTCAATGCAGCAGGGTCAGGAACACCGCCGCCAGACCGAGAACTATCAGCATGTCCTGGCATTAAGGTGCGCAGTAGGCGCTGCGCATTTCCTTTGAAAGGAAATCTTCGAAAGCAGGGCTGTAGCCAAGAAGGCTACGGGGACGATGATGATGATGAAGATGATGAGTCTTGGAAGTCTAGGAAATGGAAGAACACGAAATGGCGAAACGCTGGCTCCGGGCATTCAAAATGTGGCCCGGGAGTGGAGTTTTGGGAAGTGGAAGAGCACGAAGTGGCCTACAGTTGGCTCCGGGCATTCAAAATGTAGCCCGGGAATTATGTTCTGGGAAATCCAAGACCACGAAGTGGCCTACAGTTGGCTCCGGGCATCCAAAATGTGGCCCGGGAATTGTGTTCTGGGAACTCCAAGAGCACGAAGTGGCCTACAGTTGGCTCCGGGCATCCAAAATGTGGCCCGGGAATGGAGTTCTGGGAAGTCCAAGAGCACGAAGTGGCCTACAGTTGGCTCCGGGCATTCAGAATGTGGCCCGGGAATGGAGTTCTGGGAGGTCGAAGAGCACGAAGTGTGTGACTGTTTGTTTAAAACGAGCCCGGCCCTGAGCCTGGCCCTCGCTGTCCGGATGCCGCCCAGACTTCCCTTCTGAGTCATCAGATGCTCTCGTTCGACACCAGTAGAAACCTATCAGTCTTCGCTGTTAGGTAATGAGCCGCCCTCAATCTGTGAAACTCTTGCGAATGTTTAAAACGAGTGTGTGCGGCGCTAGGGCGAGAGCCTCATTTTGAAAACCACCCGCCCTCACATGTTTAAAACGAATGTGCGCGGCGCTAAGGCGAGAGCCTCATTTTGAAAACCACCCGCCCTCCATCTGTGAAGCTGCTGCCACTTCTTAAGCTTCAGAGCCGTACATGGTGAGGAAGTCTCAGGCGAAACGCCTGGCCCGCCCTAATAACTGGCTTCGGAATGCGACATGGAGAAGTTATTGAAAATTAAAATGGAGGAGGATGAGGAGGGATTGGAGGGGGAGGAGTAGGAAAATGGCGAGGAGGCGGAGGAGGAGGATGAGGAGGAGGGGGAGGAGGACGAACGAGGAGGGATCGGAGGAGGAGGATGAGAATGGCGAGGGGGCGGAGAAGGGGGAGGACGAGGAGGAGGAGGAGGAGGAGGAGGAGGAGGAGGAGGAGACGGGGGAGGAGGACGGCTAGGGCGCCCAAAGGACGCGAGCGGCGCAGCCACGTACAGTGGCGAGCACAGGCCCACTCCTTGCCCAGTCCGCCCCTGGGCCTGGAAAGGGCGGGGCTGGCAGACAGCTGGTGGGGCCCGTCATTGCCCGCCGTCTGGTGCGTGAACCTCGACCGATCCCCGGGGGGGGGGGGGGAGAGGGAGGAGGGGAGGGGGAGGGAGGGGGGAGGGAGGGGGCGGAGGGAGGTAACGGAGGGAGGGAAAAGGGGGGGGGAGGGAAGGGGAGGGAAGGGAGGGGGGGGAGGGGGGGGGGAGGGAGGGAAAGGGGGGAGGGAGGGAAAGGGGGGGGGGAGGGGAGGGAGGTGGGGCTCATCCCAGAGGGGGAGGGAGGGAAAGGGGGGAGGGAGGGAAAGGGGGGGGAGGGGAGGGAGGTGGGGCTCATCCCAGAGGCGACGTCGGATGGGAGATGGGTCTCGGGGGCACCTGCATCGACCCCGAGTCGCCTACTCAGGGCGCCGGATTCCAGGTCGATGTTTCCTCCCCTGGACCCATTTCACCCCAACGTTGCCCCTGACTCATGTACTGCCGCCCAGCCTAACACGGCTGCCACTGATCAAGGCACCAGGGGACTGACAGGTCAGCAAATTGCCCTCGTGTCTTAGTGCCGCCGCCTGCCATCGGAGGCGGCATGGCCTTAGCTCAGAGGCCCCCCAGGAGCAACGCCCTCCCGATTTCTTTCAGAGCCCTTCTGGCTCCTGAGACTCGGGTAGCTTATTCCAATGTGATTCAAAATGTCGGGGGCCCAAGCTTAAGAGGCTGATGTGCTGGGGCCTGTGGCTACGCGCGTTCTAACCCGCAGCGGAGGAGGAAGAATGGAGGACGGAGGAGGGAGCCGGGAGGAGGGCAGGAGGAGGAAGGATGGACGACGACGGGGGGACCAGGGAGGATGGGGGAGGATAGGAACAGAGAGATGAAGCAACGGGCGGAGGACGGGGAGGTGGAGAGGGAGGAGGGCGGGGATGGGGCGAGGGGGGTCACCGGGAGGGAGGCCGTGAGACAGCGCGCTCCCTTCAGGTCGGGAGGAGGAGAGGCCGCAGGCCGAAGCCCCCTGGGGGCCATCGCTCCCCGCCGCGCGCCGGCCCGAGCTGGAGAAGGGCACCGCTCGCCCCCCGGGGGCCGCCACTCCCTTGTTGAAGGGGCCCTGGGACACACAGACAAATACACACAAATCAAAGGGTTCCGCATATTTTCCTATCTGTTTTCGGGGTGTTTGTCTTCCCCCCCCCCCCCCCCACTGCCCATATTTTCCCAGATCTTCCTGGGAATCGAGGATGACTTGTGTCTGTGTGTTTTTTCCCCTCCTGACTTGTGGGCCACCGACCCCCGCCCGGCCCGAAAAACCCGCCGAGAGCGCGGGCCGGGCCGGCCGTGCACACCTGGGAGACTTAATATGTGCGGAGGGCTCCTGCGCGCGTGCGCGGCAGGGGCGCGTCGTGACGACCCCGGCGTTGGTCTCCACCGTATCGGGCGCGGCCTATATCCGACCTAGCTAGCAAACCATTTCTTTCCGTGACGTCACCCTCGCCTTTCAAGCTTCCCTCTGGCTGCATACATACGTGAGTCGGTTAGGCTGCCCCTGATCGTAACGGGCCCTGGAAACGACAGGGCCGTTCTTTTGCCGGTTCCGCTTTGCCGTTCTTGCTGCTGCTTCTGGCGCCGATGTTTTTGTTGCCGGCTCCGTCGCCGTGCCGGTACCGGTTCCGATTCTGGAGCGGTTTTTTCACCGTTTCCAGTTGCCATTGTTTCCCACTAAGTCACTTGTCATGGGAGGCTGTTTTCAAACACGATGATGCAGCGGCCCTGCCGTTTGCGGGGCTCACTATAGGGTCTCCTCCATCTCCCCTCCCTAGAAAAAGAAACCACTCAATAAACATAAACTTTCGACGGTCCGCGCGGATTCCTTGAATCTGCGCTGGACCCCCCTCCCCGGTGCGCGGAGCGCGCCGGGGGTCGCGCCGGAGGCGCCGCCGGGGAGGCCCAGCGCAGATCCAAGAAATCCGAGCGGAGCGCCAACAGTTTGTTTTTGTTTCGAATTAAGGGTCTCCTCCATCTTCCTTCCCATATCTTCGACGATAATGAGTTGTTCAGCCAGCGTGTTTCAGGATGAGGCTGATTATCCTTCCTCCTTCTGCACTTCTTCCGTCCACCTCTTCCTCGTTCTACACGTTTCGGACGGCCTACTCTCCGCTGGGGAACCGAGCTGGTACCTGGCATGGCCCGCGTGGACCTGGCGAGGAGGAAGCTGCGCTGGCACAGCAACGGAGCTTGCTGAGGCTCGTGGATGCGGCAGGTTCGCGCCGTGACCCCGGGCGTGGCGGGTCTATGGCAACGCGCGCACCGTTCTATCTTGAACGAGCGACCGCGTCACGATCGCCAGATCGCTCCATGTTGGCCAGTTCTGGGCCATTGGCGGCGCTCAACCTTGAACGGCCACGGTGGGGTCGCCGCCGCGTCGAAACGATACGAGCCTGCTGCAGATCTGACCCGATGCCCACCACTCGAAACGTCCAGGAGGCACGCAGGAGGAAGCACGGCAGGCAGGCTTTGGAAACTTTTACCTGTCAGAGAGACCTCGCCAGGCCCCAGAACTATGGGCCCGTCTGGAAGGTCTTCGCGGCAAAGGCTTTCGATCTAGATTTCTGGGAGGTCCAGCTCCCAGGGAGGGCCAGATCCCAGGGAAGGGCTCGAGATCTCTGGGAGGTCCGCGCGTTTGCCTGGGGGCGGGTAGGCGTCCAGTGTGCCAATCTGGTGGCTCCCCCTTCCAGCCGCGGCTGGGGACCCACACATCCGGCGTCGCGTTTTTTGTTTGAAAACACGGCCCCCGACCACTCCACCACCTCCCCGGGACCGGTTTCTCGTCCGGAGTACTTTTGCTGACGGTCCCGAGGCCCGATACAGGGCCCCAAGAGGCTGAAACCTATGAAAAACCTGGCTCCCGATTGCCTCGAGACGCCATGACGTTTGGGGAGATGACGCTCGCGGCCGGCACAGCGCGGCCGGCGTCCTTCGGCATGTCCTCGGGCTTCCACCCGGTGGGGTCCTGCGGGGGCTACCGTTACTACCGATAGGTCGGGCATGTCCTCCCACAGGCGGGCTCGGGAAGAAAAAACAACAGCCAAAAAAGAAGCTCAAACATCGTCACAGAACCAAGACACGAAACATCGTCCACCGACTATTTTAAACCATTCTTGCACTCAGCTGCCCCAATACCCAACACGCAACACGTAGAGTGCTGACACGGAGCTCAACACGTAGACTGAAAACGTAGGGCATGACGCGGCACGCTCGCCAAAACGTGTGCCAATACGCTGAGCCAGCACGCAGCGTCTTGACACGGACGCCTTCAGCACGGCACGTGCTGCGTATCCAAAGGGGCGCATCGAGGCAGCTACGTTCTTGCAGGTTCCTCCTGTATAGAAAGGGACATGCCCGATGCGCAGGGCCGCCGGTGCTGCTGCCGGGGGAAGGATCCCTCGGTAGCCGCGGGAGGCGGCCGCCTCGGGCCCAGAGGCGGCCCCCCGAGGGCCCCGTGATGGGGTGCTCTTCGGGCGACGAAATCCTGAGCACTTTCTTAGGGTGGAGGGCTCAGGGTGAAATCCATCTGGGCTCTTGCACCTCGCAAATCCAGTCTGTCTTGTGATTCACCTTTTGCAGGTTCAAGCCTTTCCACGCAAAGAACATGCTCGAGAAAATATTGGAGCGGCCGGATATCTGGGGCGCATCTCTACGTGCACGTCCGTGTCCCCTCTCGCTTTCCAGGTCCGCCCCGTTCTCTTCCCCGCACGTAGAGATGCGCCCAAGACATCCGGCCGCTCCAGTCTTCTCGATGCGTGGGCCCTGGAGGTCCAGACCACGTCCCCAAGGGCGGCTTCTCGCCCCGAGCCCTCCCTCTTGACGGCCCCGAGGCACCCAGCGAGGCGCCCCTCCAAGAGGCCGAAGACAGCCCCAAAAACACGCCCGCTCCATGTTTTTGTCCTGGCGCGCCGCACCTCTGGGCATCGACGGCCGTCGCTGTGCGCGCGCGCGCCTCCTCCTCCTCCTCCTCCTCCTCTTCTTCTTCTTCTTCTTCTTATTCTTCTTATTATTCTTCTTCTTCTTATTATTATTATTATTCTTATTATTATAATTATAAGTATTATTATTAGTATTATTAGTATTATTATTATTATTCCTCCTCCCTCCTCCTCCCTCCTCCTCCTCCTCCTCCTCCTCCTCCTCCTCCCCCCTCCTCCTCTCCTCCTCCTCCTCCTCCTCCTCCTCCCCTCCTCCTCCTCCTCTCCTCCCCCCTCTCCTCCTCCTCCCTCCTCCTCCTCCTCCTCCTCCTCCTCCTCCTCCTCCTCCTCCTCCTCCTCCCTCCTCCTCCTCCTCCTCCTCCTCCTCCTCCTCCTCCTCCTCTCCTTTCCTTTGTAAATAACTTCTCCCTGTCGCACCCCGGGGCCAGCTTTTAGGGCGGGCCGGACGTTTCGCCACAGATTTCCTCACCACTTATGACTCTGAAAATTGTTAGCAGTTGACAAGTTGAGGAAGGGTGGTTTTCAAAATGTGAACCTCGTTTTAGCGCGGCGCATATTCGTTTGAACATTTGCAACAGTTTCACGGATTGAAAACGGATGGTTTTCAAAATGTGGCTCTCGCCTTAGCGCGGCGCACATTCGTTATACTATGGGCAAGAGCTTCACGGATTGAGGACGGGTCGTTTTCACAGTGTGGCTCTCGCCTTAGCGCGGGGCACATTCGTTTTCAAAACTTGGAAGGGTTTCGCGGATAGAGGGCGGTTCCTTTTCATCATGTTGCTCTCGCCTTAGCGCGGCACACATTCGTTATACAATCTGCAAGAGCTTCACGGATTTGAGGGCGGTTCATTTTCAAACTGTGGCTCTCGCCATCGCGCGGCGCACATTCCTTCTAAACATTTGCAAGAGCTTCACGGATGGAGGGCGGGTCATCTCAAAGTGTTGCTCTCGCCTTAGCGCGGCTCACATTCGTCTTAAACATTTGAAAGACTTCCCCGGGTTCCCATCATCATAAAAAGGATTCATGACTACGCGGGCGCAACCGTTACGTTCATGCGCTGTGTTGAAGTCCCAAGAATGACGTTCTGGCACGACTCTGGATCGTCACACGCAACAGTCAGGTTGATCCGCGGCGTTGGAATCCCTATGCTTCAGCATGCTGAGAGGTCTTCTAACGGTTGTCTTCCAACGAGGCAGCTCCTCGATGGAAAAGAGCCTTTGTAGGGGTCTGTGAAGAGGGAGCTTGGAGGGAGGGTTGATCCCAACATCGTTGATGCCTCTTGGGTTTGCACTGGTCCTCCTCCTCCTCCTCCTTCTCCTCCTCATTCTCCTCCTCCTCCTCCTCCTCCTCCTCCTCCTCCCCCTCCTCCTCCTCCTCCCCCTCCTCCTCCTCCCCTCCTCCTCCCCGGCGGGCGCTCCTCCTTCGCCGACAGCGTCATCACCTCTTCCGGCGGCTCCCCCCCGCCGTCGCAGCAGCGGAAGGCCAGCAGCGCGGCGTGGGGGCTCGGGTGCTCCTCGCGGGGCTGCCGCTCCCCCGGCCTCTCTACGCCTTCGAATACCTTTGAAGAGGGACACGGCCGACTTACCCCAAGCGCTCTTCGACACCTGGTCCGCCCAACGATCCTCATGGGCAAAAGGGGGAACTCACCGCAACGATCCCGCTGGCCCCTCCTCACTCCCTCGTCCTTCCCTCCGTCCCTCCCTCACTCGCGCCTCCCTCCAGGCATCTGCGGCCCATCGGCGAACCACCCCCACCCGTACAGGCTGTGAATACCTATACGACCACCCTTCGGGTGATAAGGAGGTGAGGGGGGGGAGGGACCAACGTCGCACTCGATCGATCTGACTATCGAACTCACTACCGATCTCACAATCGATCTCGATCGATCGATCTCACAATCGATCTGACTATCGATCTCACAATCGATCTCACATTCGGTCTCGCGATTGATCTCAGAATCGATATCACAATCGATCTCACATTCGATCTGGCTATCGATCTCACTACCGAACTCACTTTGGATCTCATTATCGATCTTACATTCGGTCTCACTACCGATCTCACTATCGATATCACAACCGATCTCACAATCGATCCCACATTCGGTCTCACCATCGATCTCACTATCGAACTCACTATCGGTCTCATTATCAATCTCAATCGATCGATATCACAATCGATCGACTATCAATCTCACAATCGATCTCACAATAGGATCTCACATCACTGTCGATCTCACGATCGATATCACAACCGATCTCACAATCGATCTCCCATTCGGTCTCACAATCGACTCGATACCACTATCGATCTCACAATCGATCACAATCACATCTCGCTCGATCTCACTCGTCGATCTCACATCGATCGATCGATCACAACCGACACAATCGACCACTATCGGATCACTATCGATCGTCACAATCGATATGACACTCGGTCTCACGCTCGATCTCACAATCGATATCACTATCGATCTCACTATCGATCTCACATTGACCTCACTATCGATCTCACTATCGATAATCATCATCATCATCACCATCATCATCAACAACATCAACATCATCATCATCAACATCATCATCATCATCATCAGTATCAGTATCAGTATCAGTATCAGTATCAGTATCAGTATCAGTATCAGTATCAGTATCAGTATCAGTATCAGTATCAGTATCATCATCATCATCATCATCATCATCATCATCATCATCATCATCATCATCATCATCATCATCATCATCATCATCATCATCATCATCATCATCGGGACACCGACGGGACACCGACGGGACACCAGCGGGACACCGGCGGGACACCGCGGGGCCCTGGCCGCCCGGAAGGGAGACATTTGATCCGGCCGCGCCTCGGCCACACGGGACACCAGCGGGACACCGGCGGGACACTGCGGGGCCCCGGCCGCCCGGAAGGGAATCATTTGGTCCGGCCGAGCCTCAGCCACAGGAGACTTTCTCTCGCCCGCCCACGCAGCTTCGCCTCGCCCGCACGGCACGCACGGAACGCACGAACACGAAACCGAAATCGATTTCCCGGTAGGGGGGCTCTCCGTTCCACTTCGATCTCACCCCCTCACCTCCGACTTAGATCGTATCAGAATGGCTCAGTTCCCCCAAAAAGCATGGGCAAGGCTGATCAGGGAAGTCAGCGGCAGGGCGCGAGAAGGATGCAAGGCCGTTGAATGCCCAACGTGAAGCCGAGGTTGGCAACCTATGTCCGATGGCTCAGTTCCAGGATGGGCCAAAGAGGCAATCATGCAAAGGCACCGTTGGAAACTTACTCATCTTCATGGTACGGCTTGGCTGTGCTCCCACTCCAACTCCCCATTTCCTCCTGAGGAGGGACGATGAGGCGGGGACTAGCCCAGGGGGGAAACAATGACCTGGAAGCGACGAGACATCGCCGAGAGATCCGCGACATGCCCCCTACAGCAAATCCGCACGCTCCTGGGCTGGGTGGGCAAATTACCAGCCCCTCACCAGCGATCAATGGGAGATTGGGGGTCGATGCACCTCCTCCTGAGCCTTGCCCTCCCTACTGTTGATTTTTGACTTCATTGAA